AACTTTCCAAAGGTCTTCATCTATAAGGACTGGTCCCCTTAAAGTATATGCTATAACATTGTTCAATGTGGAAGACACTCATGTATAAACTTTCCAAAGGTCTTCATCTTCAAGGACTGGTCCCCTTAAAGTATCTGCTATAACATTGTTCAATGTGGAAGACACTCATGTATAAACTTTCCAAAGGTCTTCATCTTCAAGGACTGGTCCCCTTAAAGTATCTGCTATAACATTGTTCAATATGGAAGACACTCATGTATAAACTTTCCAAAGGTCTTCATCTTCAAGGACTGCTCCCCTTAAAGTATCTGCTAAACATTGTTCAATGTGGAAGACACTCATGAATAAACTTTACAAAGGTCTTCATCTATAAGGACTGGTCCCCTTAAAGTATATGCTATAACATTGTTCAATGTGGAAGACACTCATGTATAAACTTTCCAAAGGTCTTCATCTTCAAGGACTGGTCCCCTTAAAGTATCTGCTATAACATTGTTCAATATGGAAGACACTCATGTATAAACTTTCCAAAGGTCTTCATCTTCAAGGACTGCTCCCCTTAAAGTATCTGCTATAACATTGATCAATGTGGAAGACACTCATGTATAAACTTTCCAAAGGTCCTCATCTTCAAGGACTGGTCCCCTTAAAGTATCTGCTATAACATTGTTCAATGTGGAAGACTCTCATATATAAACTTTCCAAAGGTCTTCATCTTCAAGGACTGGTCCCCTTAAAGTATCTGCTATAACATTGTTCAATGTGGAAGACACTCATATATAAATTTTCCAAAGGTCTTCATCTTCAAGGACTGGTCCCCTTAAAGTACCTGCTATAACATTATTCAATGTGGAAGACACTCATGTATAAACTTTCCAAAGGTCTTCTTCTTCAAGGAATGGTCCCCTTAAAGTATCTGCTATAACATTGTTCAATGTGGAAGACACTCATGTATAAACTTTCCAAAGGTCTTCATCTTCAAGGACTGGTCCCCTTAATGTATCTGCTATAATATTGTTCAATGTGGAAGACACTCATGTATAAACTTTCCAAAGGTCTTCATCTTCAAGGACTGGTCCCCTTAAAGTATCTGCTGTAACATTGTTCAATGTGGAAGACACTCATGTACAAACTTTCCAAAGGTCATCATCTTCAAGGACTGGTCCCCTTAAAGTATCTGCTATAACATTGTTCAATGTGGAAGACACTCATGTATAAACTTTCCAAAGGTCTTCATCTTCAAGGACTGGTCCCCTTAAAGTATCTGCTATAACATTGTTCAATGTGGAAGACACTCATGTATAAACTTTCCATAGACCTTCATCTTCAAGGACTGGTCCCCTTAAAGTATCTGCTATAACATTGTTCAATGTGGAAGACACTCATGTATAAACTTTCCAAAGGTCTTCATCTTCAAGGACTGGTCCCCTTAAACTATCTGCTATAACATTGTTCAATGTAGAAGACACTCATGTATAAACTTTCCAAAGGTCTTCATCTTCAAGGACTGGTCCCCTTAAAGTATCTACTATAACACTGTTCAATGTGGAAGACACTCATGTATAAACTTTCCAAAGTTCTTCATCTTCAAGGACTGGTCCCCTTAAAGTATCTGCTATAACATTGTTCAATGTGGAAGACACTCATGTATAAACTTTCCAAAGGTCTTCATCTTCAAGGACTGGTCCCCTTAAAGTATCTGCTATAACATTGTTCAATGTGGAAGACACTCATGTATAAACTTTCCAAAGGTCCTCATCTTCAAGGACTGGTCCCCTTAAAGTATCTGCTATAACATTGTTCAATGTGGAAGACACTCATGTATAAACTTTCCAAAGGTCTTCATCTTCAAGGACTGGTCCCCTTAAAGTATCTGCTATAACATTGTTCAATGTAGAAGACACTCATGTATAAACTTTCCAAAGGTCTTCATCTTCAAGGACTGGTCCCCTTAAAGTATCTGCTATAACATTGATCAATGTGGAAGACACTCATGTATAAACTTTCCAAAGTTCTTCATCTTCAAGGACTGGTCCCCTTAAAGTATCTGCTATAACATTGTTCAATGTGGAAGACACTCATGTATAAACTTTCCAAAGGTCTTCATCTTCAAGGACTGGTCCCCTTAAAGTATCTGCTATAACATTGTTCAATGTGGAAGACACTCATGTATAAACTTTCCAAAGGTCCTCATCTTCAAGGACTGGTCCCCTTAAAGTATCTGCTATAACATTGTTCAATGTGGAAGACTCTCATATATAAACTTTCCAAAGGTCTTCATCTTCAAGGACTGGTCCCCTTAAAGTATCTGCTATAACATTGTTCAATGTGGAAGACACTCATATATAAATTTTCCAAAGGTCTTCATCTTCAAGGACTGGTCCCCTTAAAGTACCTGCTATAACATTATTCAATGTGGAAGACACTCATGTATAAACTTTCCAAAGGTCTTCTTCTTCAAGGAATGGTCCCCTTAAAGTATCTGCTATAACATTGTTCAATGTGGAAGACACTCATGTATAAACTTTCCAAAGGTCTTCATCTTCAAGGACTGGTCCCCTTAATGTATCTGCTATAACATTGTTCAATGTGGAAGACACTCATGTATAAACTTTCCAAAGGTCTTCATCTTCAAGGACTGGTCCCCTTAAAGTATCTGCTGTAACATTGTTCAATGTGGAAGACACTCTTGTACAAACTTTCCAAAGGTCTTCATCTTCAAGGACTGGTCCCCTTAAAGTATCTGCTATAACATTGTTCAATGTGGAAGACACTCATGTATAAACTTTCCAAAGGTCTTCATCTTCAAGGACTGGTCCCCTTAAAGTATCTGCTATAACATTGTTCAATGTGGAAGACACTCATGTATAAACTTTCCATAGACCTTCATCTTCAAGGACTGGTCCCCTTAAAGTATCTGCTATAACATTGTTCAATGTGGAAGACACTCATGTATAAACTTTCCAAAGGTCTTCATCTTCAAGGACTGGTCCCCTTAAAGTATCTGCTATAACATTGTTCAATGTAGAAGACACTCATGTATAAACTTTCCAAAGGTCTTCATCTTCAAGGACTGGTCCCCTTAAAGTATCTACTATAACACTGTTCAATGTGGAAGACACTCATGTATAAACTTTCCAAAGGTCTTCATCTTCAAGGACTGGTCCCCTTAAAGTATCTGCTATAACATTGTTCAATGTGGAAGACACTCATGTATAAACTTTCCAAAGGTCTTCATCTTCAAGGACTGGTCCCCTTAAAGTATCTGCTATAACATTGTTCAATGTGGAAGACACTCATGTATAAATTTTCCAAATGTCTTCATCTTCAAGGACTGGTCCCCTTAAAGTATCTACTATAACATTGTTCAATGTGGAAGACACTCATGTATAAACTATCCAAAGGTCTTCATCTTCAAGGACTGGTCCCCTTAAAGTATCTGCTATAACATTGTTCAATGTGGAAGACACTCATATATAAATTTTCCAAAGGTCTTCATCTTCAAGGACTGGTCCCCTTAAAGTATCTGCTATAACATTGTTCAATGTGGAAGACACTCATGTATAAACTTTCCAAAGGTCTTCATCTATAAGGACTGGTCCGCTTAAAGTATCTGCTATAACATTGTTCAATGTGGAAGACACTCATGTATAAACTTTCCAAAGGTCTTCATCTTCAAGGACTGGTCCCCTTAAAGTATCTGCTATAACATTGTTCAATGTGGAACACACTCATGTATAAACTTTCCAAAGGTCTTCATCTTCAAGGACTGGTCCCCTTAAAGTATCTGCTATAACATTGCTCAATGTGGTACGTAATTTTGATTAGGTAAACCAATAGGAATAATCTCCACTTAGATTCGCAATCTCAATCAAGACAGATGTGTATCAAGGTATTTTGTTCAAGGTACAAATTATCGACAACGAACACGCGTTAGCGTTAGACATGCACTGACTGTGATAGATTTTGTAGGTTTTTTAATGCATCCACCTCCAATTAAAACAAAACAGGGATGCTCGTATAAAGGCGGAGCTCTGAATATTTTGACATTTTCTAAAGATTGTTGAATTATTACTAATTAATATTATAAAATTGATACAAATACCAAGTGGAATTATATTTTTTTGGCCTTTTTTTTCTCCTCCCCTCTTACATTTTGATGAATTTAATTATCCCAAATTGGCAAAATTGGCATTTTAAGAACCCCCAGTAATCTTTAAAAAATTGATCCCAGGTGAGTTATTTTGTTTAAACTGAGCCCAGAACCTCAATACAGCTTTTGCATCGATGCTCTTCCCTGATTCAGTTGTAGAGCTTGCTAGTGTAATTTGCAGCCTTGTATCATAGATAAGTCATTGCAAAACTCAACACAGGATCATTTAGCTCTCAGCCAGTTTCCATCAACGATTTTAACAAAAAAATTGCGATGAAATTTCGTCAATTTGGTTATGGGTTATCTTAACGATAAAAATCATCTTATTTTAATAGAATTAATGAAAATGGCATAGAAGTGACTAGACATTGGGACACAAATAATTGATTCATCCTGGTCATCATATGTTTTTGCATTCTAAAAAGACCAAAAATTAGCATTAATTTAGAGATGATTCAGTGCTAATTCAGAAATGGAATTTTCATTACTGAGTGATTAGTGTTTTAGTTCTGACCATGGATGACGTGACGCTGCTCAGAGACTGAATCATCGATGACTTACAATTATTATTTTTTAAAACATCATGAATTTGCAATAAAGTTCAATCAAGTTGTGATGAAAGGTCAAAAGAAGATCAAAGGTCTGATGTGAAGAAAGAAATCACCACGTGTACAAGCATCCGACTTTTTCTTTAAGAAAAGTCAGAACAACAATGCATGTGATAAATTTTTGAAAGTTTAAAATATGCAACTTAAGACGGCTGCGCTTTAATAAAATCTCAGTTGTGACTTCAAAAAAGTTGCAAGAAAAATATTAATTCAAGATACCATAGAACACATTTAATTAATTCAGGATTCGAATTCTTTTGAAGGGTAGAAATACAAAACTTTGTTCATTAAGTGCTAAACTCTTGTAGTTGCATACAAGTTTCCGGGTATTTTGAAACCGGGTTTGAAGCAGCAAGATCTGAGTTCATCCAGGTTTATTATCTTCTTAAATGCATCTCTGAACGCCAGATTTGCGCATGTGTATACAATTGGGTTGACAAGACAGCTTAAGTAAGAGAAAGCATAAAACAATTCAACCAATTTAGCGCTGATTACTTCCGGTTGGAAAGCGTGAACAATTGCTACTATACTGTATGGGCTCCAACACACCACAAATGACGTCATAATTGCAGTCAAGATTCGCATTGAAGTTTTTTGTTCACTCATATTTTCGATCAGCTGCAGCGGAAGTCGCAAAATAGCTTCGCTCACTCGTTTGATTCTCAGTCGGGTCGAGTCCTGAAACGAAGGACTGGGGGGCGGGGGTCCCCCCAATTTGGGGATGTCTCCGGGACACGCCGAGGAGTGCCGTCGGAACGTATAGTGGTCTGGGGGAGGAACGCCGAGTGAAATAGATCCTGTTTTGAATTTGGGCGGGAGCTTAGCAGATTTTGGTTCGTCATAAGTGGGCCAGTTCCGATTCGAAGTATTTCGGTTATTGCTATCTCGTCGTTTTTGACACGGAGCCATTTGAATTGCCGAGACGCTCGCATTTATGTTATTATCGATTGTTTTTCCATTAGAATCTCTAGATTGCCGTTTTGTGAATCGCTTCGAAAGGTATTCTTCGGATTGGGAAACTCGGACGTCCATTCCCTCGGAGGAATTGCGAATGATGGCGTTTTTATCGAATCCGTTTGATGTGATACATATTTCAGGGTTGTTTGAGTTGAACCCGGCCGCGTCCATCTGGCTGCTGGATTGGTTGTTCCTGGAACCCAGTTGGGACCCCGAGGGTTCCTGGCGAATATTTGGAGTCGGAAGGTTGCTTCGGTTACTCCTTCGGCTCCAGAAAAATTTTGTGACTTTATAGATCTTCACATACAAAACTGTAAGCGTTACCAAAACTGCCCAAAAATTGACAAGTGTCATCGCGAAAACCCAGATAAGGTTCGACCGGAAATGAACTTGGCATGTTCGGTTCTCGGTGAAGTTTCGATCCGGACCAAGTAGTTCAAACTGCTGGATCATGAAGATTGAGGGAACGTAGATGAGGAAGGGGACAGACCAGGTGATGGAAATGTAAAGGACAACCCACTTCTGACTCATATTTGTCCTGTAATGGAACGGATGTGCCACTGACCAATAGCGATCGATGCCGATGGTCAGAATGGCGAAACAAGTGGCCGTGCAGTTGATGTTGTCGACTGTGAGCCAGATGTTGCAGAGGAGTCTGTTGCCCGCCCAGGAGCCTGAAAAACACAATTGACAAGTTGAGAAAACCGGTTCGATTTTAAAACTAAAATTACATAAAACAAAAAGTTATTAAATAATTTACAAAGCCTGATTTTTGTGATACAGAATACATTGCTTTGGATTTTTTCTATGCGCTTTCATTTCATACTTAAGTGTGTGGCCTAAGTGCAGAATTGTCTGCCAAAAAACAACTAAAGAGAATTTCTGCAGTAAAATGATGTCTCCTGTTTTTCTCAAGGTTGTATGCTATACTCAGACTCTCTCTAATTATTGAGATAGAAACACTGAATTAATAAAATGGTCATAAAGCAGAAAGTATTTCACCAAGTGTACAATAATGAACAAACAAATTTTGTTTTTGCCAGTTTCAACATTGAGCTGATAATAGTAACTGCAAACTTAACTCTGTTTTGGGTTAGGTGATCTCAAGATGGTAACAAGTACGACGAAATGTGGTACAGTGTTACTGCTCATTCTTCAAGTAATCATTTTTGCTCTCGCTTGCATTCAAAACATGCAACTTTGATGGAATCCTGTTTTCAAAATGCGGCGAGCGGCTTTGTGAGAACTAAGATATTTCTTTAACTATCATTTTTGAAGAACCATATATTGAAATAGGGGACAGAGATTACGTATAAAATTCACATTACCTGCTTAACCGTTGAATTAGCCCTTTATAGTGGGGGGGGGGGGGGGGGTTCATTACTATGTACCGTGGGGTGATACTTGGAGATTCGAAGAACTTATTGCAAAAGCTCACCTAATTTTTCCTAAACAGGAACTCTATGAGAACAGATTTAGATATATTCTGATTTAAAACCGTTTTTTCCCTGAAATTTGACCTCAACTCGAAACCAGGGTGTTTTTTCTTTTTCTTCCACCCGCAAAATTTTTTAAAACAACTTCTTGTTCACAGTGTCCGATTGTTACAAAAATTGGCATGCGGACTAATTTGGTTATGACAAACAAATTTGATTGTCACATCTAATCTTGTAACACCCTTGTTACACCATCATTAAATAGAAGCTCATAAGAGCTGGGGGAGAGAAAAGAGCCAATATTGCCTATAGACCTCATGAAAAATATATGCTGTCGACTACATTTTCATTCTCTAGTAACCTATTTTAAACCATTGTCAGAGCTGAGATAATGCTATTGTAATTGCAAAAAAAAATCCATTTAGACATTTAATCACTTTTAAAGTATTTGCGGCGCCTATCCAAATCAAAAGAAACTAAAAATAGACCATTTCGAGTCACTTCAGACTATTCATCATTTCCAACAACGTCGTTCATGAAAAGCGACTGAAATAATTCACTATCTCTTTTGCGTTAATTGCAAAAAAAATATCTTCTACAGCTATTTAAAGTAACACATATTTGCAACATATCCCTTTGTAAAAAAACAAGACTGCTCGCATCAGTACTAGGATTGTTCTGAGGCCTATGGGGTTTTAAAAAAACATGACGACCTTTCGAAAAGAAAAAATTCTTAAAAAAAATATTATTTTGCAAACCAACTTTCACGCGCTATTTTAAGTACCCAGTGATAAGTTTCGCATAAAGCAAAGTATTCAACAGACCAAATAGGATGCTTCAATTTCCAAACCTCTATAATATTACAAAAAATTAATCAAAAGTCTGGAGAAGAAACCACTCCAACCCGTGCACATATATTCTGGCACATTTTTCAAAAATGGACAGAAAGAAAATTGAGCCGAAATTGAATGATATTCCACATTTATGGGAACTCATTAAACAGGAAAAAGTTTTAAATTTGTTCTAAATAGGTTTTATTCAAGTGATCGGCTGAATCTATTGGCAATTGTTGGCAAACTCTGCCAGCATGATTACGAATCGGTTTGATTATCTGTGCCCTCAACAAAATGTTGACGCGGAAAAAAAGCTTATTCAACGTGAAATTCGTATCATTGCCTTTCCTCCGTTTTCGACGTGATTCTAATACAATAATCATCTAATACAATAATTATTGATGCAAAATCTGCAGCCAAATGTTATGGTTTTTCATGAAACTCACAATTTGACAATAAATGCAGTAATATGCATTGAAAGTCAATAAATTGAACTTTTAGACAATGAGACAATTTAGAGACATATAGACAATAAACACTTTTTTGCTGAAATTACAAATAGGAAAAAATTTTGCTAAAGCTAGTGAAATTTTAGGAGAAAAAAATGTAGGAAAAATGTTGGATCAAATATCCCAAATTGCAGTAAAATGAATTGAAAATTATGAAACGAAACAAAAAGCAGTTAGTTGAAAATTGACAATCACAAATTTTGGGGTATTACAATCACAAATTTTAGTGACGAAAGTGACAATGACAAATTTTGAGGTATGACAATCACAAATTTTTGTGACGAAACTGAAATCACAAATTTTGAGGTATCTAGATTTCCGTTATTTAAAATAAATTCACAATTTATTCTATTACTTGTTGAAAGGCTTTTTTATTACTTGAAATGCATCAAAACTCACTAAATTGAAATAAATTTCATAACTTACTCGAATTGGTATTAGATAAAAATGACAAGACATTGAGACAACAATTTCCTTCTTTCATTAAACTTACATAATGGGAGAAACTTAACGTTGTTGAAACTAGTGAAATTCTGTTTTAAAAAGCTTACGAAAAATTTTGGATCAAATTTTTAGTTAATTCTGTTATTTGTCTTTTTTAGGCAACGTAATGAGTAATTCAAGCTCATCAGTTTCCCAAAAAACTAATTAGAGCCCATGAATTCAAATTCCTTATAATGTTTGTGAGGTTGTTTTCACAGCAAGAACACCTGTAAAACTAGTTATGATGAGCTGGCTAATTTACGCCTTCAAAACAAGATTTTCAACTTTTGGCCAGGTTAAGCCCTTTCGAATAATTTCATATATTTTTAATCAAAATTTGAATCCTGTATCTTAAATAGTTGCAGAGAAAACGAACAAAACATGCAGAAAAAATTGGGTTCATTTTTTCGTTGAAATCAAAAAATGGCAACTTCTATGTCCCGTGACTGTAGGTTAACATGTAGCGACATTTAGCCGACAACTAATTTTTTCATCAAAATTACATGTAGGATACACATTTGATGAAATCTAATGAAAATTTCCTGAAGGTTTTAGGAAGCATTTTTGATCAAACAACAGAAATTGGAATTAAAATAATTAAAAATCTAGTGACGCAACAAATACTATTTACTTGATAAATCATATAAAAATTTTTTAAAAATCAGTTTAAAGTCAGGTCACGCTGCTAATATTCAAAATATTATGAGTTTTCTAGATTTGTGCTATTTTCGAAGGAAACCAAAATGTATTCTATAACTCAATAAAAAGGCCTATTGTGTATTTATTTGAACTAATTTGAAGTAAATTTTATAAATGTTACTCTAAATGGTGCTAGCTAAAATTGACGAGAAAATTAGAAGACAATTAACCAAGAAAGAAGACAAAAGAAGAAAAATCTTAGATGAAACAGCCCAAATTGCAATAAATTAAGTTTGAAATCAAATGACACAACAAATAGCGTTCAATTAAAATATCATGAGTAGCTAGCAGAAAATCATGTGAAGCCACTTAGTGGCGCAAATTTTTTGTAATTTAGATTTGCGCTTTTCTCCAAGAAATTACAAAGTATATTGTAACACATTAAAAGCCCTTTTTGCACGTAGAACTCATTTAAATTCACTAATTCGAACTAAACTTATATACAGATACACTAATTGGTGCTAGCTTAAAACGACAAGACATAAAGTTGTCAACTTCTTTCTTCATTGAAAGTACATGCGAGAGAAACTAAACTTTGTTGAAATTGGTAAAATTCTGATGAACAAGTTTCAAGAAAAGTTTTTTTAAATAGCACATTTTGGATTCAATCAATTCAAAAACAAATGAATGAACAAATAGCTCTTAGTTGAAAAAAGTCACATGCAGTTAGCAGAAAAACAAAAACAGTTAGCAGAAAAACAAAGTTCTGAATAATCTAGACTTGAACAACTTTCAAAGAAACACACAATTCAATCTAAAACTCATTAAAAAGGCCTATTGTTTACGTAAGTTGCATCAAATTTGATTAATATGAACTGAATTTTATAATTGTTACTCTAATTACTGCTAGGTAAAAAAAACGACCAGACTTTTAGTCGTCAATTATTTTCTTCATTAGGATTACATCTAAGAAAAACTTAAATTTTGTTGAATCTAGTTTCTGATTTAAAATATTTAAGAAAAACTTGGCTCAAACAGTACAAGCAGCATTAAAATCACTTCAAAATCAAGTAACGCATCATTAAGTTTTTAGTTAAAAAGTCATGTTCAGCTAGCAGAAAAATCGGACCAATATCACATAACGCAACCAAAAGCATTTGATTGAAAATTCAGTTCAAACGCAGCTGAAGCAGCTAATAGGCCCAAGTTTTGAGTTATCTGGATTTGTTTTCTTTTAATTAGGATTAATATCTAACCAGGCAAAAAATAGGTCCTATGTTTTTCTTCCTAAGAGCTGTTGTTTTTTATCCGGACACCAGTATGTTCCCAAATCAAGCTTAACAATAATTTACGAAAAGGCTAATAGATTCTGGTAATTTTTATATTAAAAAAATTGATTCTTTTTTTCTACCACATTTTTGTTTCATTTAAAAAAAAGAAATAAATTTTTAATAGATTGATCATAAAAGTGGTCTAATTGTGTCATCAATATCAAAACATACTCCCAGAATTAGAAAAAAAAAACGAATAGCCAAGCAGTCCAAAATGCCTCACACAATTTTCTCACAATTTTCCGGAGCAAAAAGGTGTGTGTCCAAAAAGGTGTGTGGCAAAAAATTCTTATTTTAACAATTTTTGAAAACATTTCTGGCAATTCTCGAGGCAATTGTGTTCTTATGAAATTGTATAACCACGTCAAAACGGAGAAAAATTTGTCAGTTTCAGATTGCAACCATCATGTAAAAACTCTATATATTGCCATTTTTTCACACATAACTAATTCACTCAACTTAATCATTTATTAGAATTGACTTAGAATTGACATGAAAAATATTTTCAGAGCTTTTTAACAAAATTTTTTGACATAATTCTATTTGGGCACTGATGGCTGCATGATATTTACGTCAATGATTTAGTATTTACGTGGTGTAGGCTTCAAATCCCACAATCTTTGAACATGACGGAATTTTTGTGCTCTGTGTAATTTTTTTTCAATTTTTTAAGAAAAATTAAAATGTCATTTTGAAGGAATTTTCAGGTCATCTGAAAGATATAAACACAGTAAACTCATTCTACGTGCAATTGTTTTTTTTTGCAATATGGAATCTCGAACATTTTCAATTTCAACATTTTCGGATAATTACTGTTCGCATTATTTCTAATTTTTCTTGATCATCTAAGATAAGTGGCATTTCCTTGTCCCGACTTTCGAAAAACGCAAAAGGGGGCGGAACATTTAAATTGGGGTGGGGTCTTTTGTTCTCGTCAAAGATCGGCTTAATAAGTAAGCGTTTTTGATAATGTTTTTTACCATTTATAAGATATCGTTGACTTCAAATAAAATTTGCTAATTTGGTCAAATTGTAAAATAAATAAGGCGCGACATTTTGCTTCCTCATAAAACGCGTAAGCGGTGAATTAAACCATTCAAAAATGAAGTGAAAATTATGAATATATAAGCCAGGGTTTGTTTTTTATACTCAAACCAATTTACAAAGAAAGTTGACAGCGCATTGGTAACAATTCGGAAATATTTTGATTGCCAAATGATTATATTTGCACAGGGGCTAAAATGCATATGGTTTTTTTGATGGAATATTGCTGGATAGTTTCAATGCCAGATGTTTAATTATTATACGTAGAAAATTTTTCGTTCTCTTAGTCACTCCAAACTGCATTAAGGCAAACTAATAAACCATATGATTTCGACACAAATTCAGCTTTTTTTGGCAGTACTATTACGATTTTTTTTAAAATTCAATTTGACCAAAAGGATTCAAGACCAGATGAAGAGCTTTGCCCTGATGTACTAGCAATCTTGTTAAAATAACATGAGACGCAGAGTAAACCTCCTCCTTGTATTCACATGGATGGTCGGTGATAAAAGGATGTCAAAAATGAACACAAACAAGCATACATTTTTTCTATTTTATTCCAAAATTTTCTTCGATGTTTTATAGCAAACCTTTTTTTTCAAATTTAAGAGGAATTCGGAGCAATCAAGGCTTGGAAATCATTCAAAATTGGATCAAAGCAATTGGATGACAATCGATTCAATTATTGCATTCAGCGATACATGCAAATTATAACTTTTTAAGAGGTTAGAAGCCAGTCGAAGCCTTCAAGGCTCCGCCTCGTTACAAGAAAGGTTGTCTACCTTCAATTCTTCCTCTGTCGTGAAAACAGACAGCTGGAGATTAATTAAATTAATAATTATTGCACTGAGAAAGAAAAGATTAAAAGTTTCACCGAAATGCGTTTTTCAGTCATTTGTTGATTTATACACTTTTCATACATGGTTGTAAAAAAAATTCACAGATTCAACTACGTCAGATAGATAAGTGAGAAAAGTACAATTGAAGCTAGAATATAATTAGATCAACGAACAACTATGGCTGACTTAGAACCTTTTTCATCTATTTTTGACAGCAACTTTCGTCAGAAGAATTGACGCAATCGAGATAAAGCTCCGCGATAAGAGCTGCCTAAAACAAACAACTTCCTCTCGTACGCAATCGAAAGAATAACAGCATAAGCAGAAAGTTTCCTTTTTAATCTGAAACGATAAGTTCAAGTAGTGAAAAAATTGGAGCCGCTTTTGTTTGTAGTCTCAAAAATGTGTAGG